TTGAAATACTGGCAGCGTCCCAGCTTGTTCAAGAGATCCGTTATGTTGGGTAATGGGTATCTGTCATTAAGGCTCCTAAATACTAAACAAAAAAATATTCAAACTGTTTGTCAAAGTGTGTATAGCAAAAACGACAAAAACATAAAACACACAAGTTTGATATCAAAATAAATAGTTAGGAATGTTAGGATCAGGAATTCAATATTTTTGTATCTACCCACTACACCCACTACATACAATTCCATAATCACTATAGGGGCTCCGCCCCCATAGCAAATTTACTACGGGGGCTCAAACCTCCATTGCCCCCATGGTTCCGGCGCCTATGTCTGCTTGCGCTAAAGTCTGCAATGTCTTGATCGCGAGATACGGCGCTAAACTCGTCCCATACGTAACAGTCAGGGTTGTTACAAGCTACTACACAATTGTGTAGTTTGCTACACAATTGGACTATCGATTACACAGGTGCACCCCAATGACCAATTTCATCTGTTTACTACACTTTTTAATAAACTGTACAAAAATGCTACACAATCACCTATTCCGTAATTCAAAATTCTTGAAACGGTAGTGAATTTAACCACTTCTGCAAAGTGGCAGAAGATGTCGCAAGCGTTAAGTGTCAGAGTCGAGATCTGTAGGCCCGGATTTTGAAGTAACCCACGATTCAATAGTATCGCCCATGAGGTCAGTTCCAGCAGAAATCACAAACCAATCAGAGTGAATTTCATTGGTTGAAACTAGTTTTCTGACTGTTTTCAATTAACGAAATTCGCTTTGACTGATTTGTGATTTCTGCAGAAACAGACCTCATATAAAATATTGTCCGTCCCCCAGTAGCACACAATGTTGGTTCCATGTTGCGGATACATTGGGCCAATATTGTATGTTGGCCCAATATTGGAATTTTTTAGCCAACATTGGACATTTATTGGCAATACAACTTCTTCCATCATTATAATAATATATTTATCCAAAAATGGGCCAATATGCACAAACAATATTTTTATCGGCAGCATATAGCCAAGATTGGTTACATATTGGCAATACATATTTTTCTTATATAACAGTGATATATTTATCCATCATTGAACCGATAAGCACAAAAAAATTGTATTTTTTTTTCATTATTGACCCAATATTGGCGATAGATATTTTTCCACATTGTAATATTATATTTACTTAAGAATGGGCTAATATACAGAAAAAATATCTTCATTGACATTATTTAGACAAAATTGGTGGATTATTGGCAATACAACTTTTTCTAATATTACCATAGTATTGTATCCATTAATGGACCAATATGCACAGATAATGTTTTTATTTGCATTATTAAGCCAATATTGGATATAATATGCCAAAACAAATTTTTCTAATATAACAGTGATATATTTATCCATATTGGCCAAATATTGATTCTATATTGGTAAAATATTGTATATGGGTTCAATATTAGCAATTTGTAGCCAATATTGGTAATATATTGGAGATTAATCTTTTTCCTACATTTTTATTAAATAATATGTGAATCCAAAATTGAAAACAACCCGAAGTCTTGTAGTTGGGCTTGATTCTTTCACAACGGGTTGATGAGGTAGGTATATATAATAATCCCCTTCGTTAACTTGCCAGCTTGGAACCTTTACCATGTGTCCGGGTCTCAAGTATTCTGTCATGAACTTTAAGATTCTGATTTTGTAGGAATTTCTTTTCTAGGCTCAGTAGTCTCGCGATAGTCTTTGGTTTTGACTGTCCTAAGTAACTGGGTTGAGTTTTTAAATGGAAACATAACTGTGAATGTGCCGTCCTTATTCCTTATTGTTGTTTGGTCATAGAATTCTTTACAGATTTCATCATATTCTAGCTTGTGTAACTTCTTCCAATTCCCAGAATTGTTTGTCTTCTTCTGCTTGAATTACCAGGCTAACGACTTGTATTGGTGGTCTTTTGGTCTGAACTGGACCTGACACTATCCATCCCAGTTCCGTGTTTTGCTTGAGAAGACCGTTCTCAGTTTTCTGGATGCCTTCAAGCATTAAGCATATGGCGTCTATGGGACCGGCCGTCATGAAGGTTGAATCTGCTAACAATTCATTTTTCCAAGATTCTAATCCACTACTTCGGACTTCTTCTGCAGGTGTTGTTTGAGTTAACTTGGCCAGTACCATCATGTTAACTAGCATAGTGAATGTTCTAGGAACTCGTGGTTTCAGGTGGATATCTATAGGCCATTTATTTGGATATTTTCGGACTTCAATCTCCTACTCCAGATACTTCTACACAAATTCTTTTACATGGAAGACCTAATCTCGGTGCAGCTTCTTCTGTGATAAACGATACTTGTGACCCTTGATCAATTAATACTCGTAACTGCTGTATCATACATGGTGTGGTCACTTCTACTATGGCAGTTGCTAGTAATACATTGTCATTTGTGCCATTTGTGTGGACTTGGAGGCCCTGCTGGTCTTCTTGTTGATCCATTGTTATGATATGTATTTTGAGGTTGATTACGTCTCTCCTGATGACCCTGATGTGACAGTGTATGATGACGCTGATTACACGTAATTTTTGTTTGTTTGTGTTGTTCGGGGCAGCACTTCCTGCTTTGGGGCGTTCGTTTGTTAGCGTGTTATATGGATGTATCTACCATAATCTGAAATATTACAGCTTAGTTCAAGTGCGACACAAACAAACAAACCTTTGTTAAATTTGTTTTTACTGTAACAAGTCTGAGTGACCTCATGAACCCATCCCACGAACTGGTTTCTTTCTGCTATCGGTAAAGCTAGGAAGCTGGAATACTGGTTGATGACATGATGTCGTTTTTTGCAAAACGAGCACTAGTTGCTATTGTCGTGTTCGATATTGGTTTTTCTTACTGACGGCGTTACAGTCTCTAAAGACTTCTCTCCAAAAATTTCATGAACGTATCAAAGTCTTGCAATTCATGAGGGTTCTGAATACTCTGTTCATAGACTTTCTTCGTCTCAGAGTCCCATTTCCTTGAAATAAGTCGTATTATCATTGGAACCCATGACTCTTCTTCCATGCCCAAATTTGTGATTGCTTGAAGGCATTCCTTGGTTACATCGTGTAATTTTTTAATTTTATCTGCTCTTTCCACTTGTAATACTGGAAAATCAATGATTTTGTTTAGAAGTTTTGAAAGGAGAAGTCTTGAATTCTGATAACGACCCAGTGGTAAGCTCCATGCTTCTGACGTTGACAGATGTTGAATGACTCTACTGGCTTTAACTCGTACATGCGTCTTCAAGAATTGCATCTCTTCTGTGGTCCTGATTGCTTGATTTTCATGTATCACTTGCTTGAATATGTCATGAAATACGAGCCAATTGTCGTAATTTCCATGAAAAAGTGGAATTGTTACTGCTGGAACCATTACATGCTGTCTGGTAACTGTAGGTGTTACTGAAAACGAAGGTTCAATTGGTTGGCTTTCATTTGATTTTTCTGTAAGCTTTTCCATAATGGCTTCATACCGCTGCTGGATGCTGAACAAGCGGTCCTGTTTGAATTAAATGTCTCTGAACTGGTTTTCATTGATTGTTATTTCCTCGTGTGAGTCTTGGATTGCGACCCATTGTTTTTGAATCTTTTGCCGTTGAAGTTCATAACGGCTCTTGGATCTTTATTCGCGTATGTCTTGATCGATTTGGTCCATAGTGTTATCGATTTTCAGTTTCTGGTGATATGAGGCTAAGAACGTTTCGTGATCATACTAATATAAAAGATGCTCTTTCAAAATCCATGCGCCTACATTTTTTTTGAAATATTTTCTTTGATAGCGACAATAATGTTAGGTATAAGTACCTACTTATATTGGGATTCAAAACTCCTTCCCTGACATCCCATATGATAAATTCTAGTTTCAAATTCCTCGAAGTCAGTCTATCTTTGATGGAATTTTAGGATATTGAACGTCGAAAATGCTTCACGATGCATATAAACAGCAGCAAATGCATTACCGTTTGCTCAGCCATAATAATGCTCCGTGACATTAGAATTATTGTTATTATCTTATCTTCAACGATTTAACAAGAAACTACTTGCTTGATTATCCGACAAAATTAATTTTCTCTATAATGTTCCCATGGAAACTTCTCGTGCTTGCTTCCAAAGCAAAGCTTTGTTGTTTGTTGAAGTGAGCCTGTTTCCAAGAAATAATGCCAGCAAATTCATAACGTCGGTTTTCTTGGAAACCTTCCATTGCTTGGCACTTTTTGTGTGTGATTTAAATTAATAAATTTAAAAGAAAAACTGCAGCTTAGAACTTCTTGTCATTAGGGACATGCGCCAAATATTAATTTTTTGAAAAAAAAATGATCCAGAAGTTTAACTTAATTTGCATATAACAATATAGGTACATTTCACTAATTCATTGGAAAAAAAACAATATACTAATAGATACATACATAGGTACCTACTTAAATTAGTTAATTGAATCTGGTGGAGCATAAAGTATTAAATATTTAACCGCAAAATACCATTTTCTAGAACTTTTTATAACGTTTTCAAACGGTAACAAGATCAAGATGCTCGCAGCAGTAGGCCTACGTCGGTACCTCCTAACAGTAAACTGATGCAAATTATTATATTTAAAGAATAAACTAATCAGAATACTACATATCTTTCTTGTATTATATAAAGCAGGTCAATATATTGAGCTCGTAACTGGTGCTACTTATAAAGTACCACTTGATAAAATTCATAAATCTACCTTCTGGTGATTTTTTATTTTCATACGGTACGACCGAAAATCAATCAGACCGCTACGAAAATTTCTATTCTTTAAAAGTGTCTCAGCAAGATCCCATATACTGATAAATTAAGATACATAATTCTGCTGCAAACATTAAGAAACATGCATATGAGTACTTTCTAGTACTAAATATGCATTACCTTGTTAAATAATATTAACCAATATAATAACTGGAGCCTTTAAATTCGTATTTATTTTGTTTTTATTGTTTCAGTTGAAGCCTACCACGTGGAAATCGGAGTCACAGTTGAATAAAAAGGAAAACATTAGGTACTTAAATACTACATTTATTTAATATATTATAGATATCTATTAAATCGATTATTCATTTTAGATCTAAAAGCGAAGCTCCCAAAAATGGAGACAGCATTTTCTACACTAAACCCATCTCGAAAAGTTCCGATTGGACCAATATCGATCTGGAAGTACCTTCTAACGAAGACGATCACATTCACTTAAGAAATCCAAAATTAAATCTAATTTTCGATGACGAAAAGGGCACCCCTACGCCACCACCTCGAAAACAACACAAAAGCTTTAGAGAAAAAATTGAAAAAATTGCCAACAAAGGCTTGCAAGCATTTCAAAGTGACAAAAATAAAGAACCGAACAATCAAAATCAAACTCCAATAGAGGAACCTTTGATGGTAAAAAGAAAAATTAACTATAATTGTCCTCTGTGTGATAGCGATGAAAAGAATCATAACCGAGATCACCATCACAATCATAATAATAAAACAAAAAATTCCAAAAGACAAAAAAACTTGTCTATAATCTCCCTACCAAATTACACTGACCTTAAACTTTCCATAGCAAATCAAAACAATATTGATCCTACTGGAAAATCTCTATCAAAGCCCAACCTTAATGCTTCCAGGCTTAGCCTACAACATCCCAATTCCAAAAAAATCACTTCTAGTCAATCTACTGGTAAACTAGACAGCTACATTTCCAGATGCAGATCGTTTGGCTCAATATTTCCTCAACAACTAAAAAAATTAAAAACCCCAAAATCCAAACCAGAAGACATTACGTCGGATGACTCTTTTGGTCCTCTAGAAGATTGGGATGTTGGCCTAATCGAACATTATAACCCGAAAGATGCCAGTTTACCAAGACCAAGAAAAAATAACATTACAGAAAAAGCTGTTTTGGATGGTATTGAAGATTTAATAGTAAAAGAAGAAGATTTAGTTGAAACTCCAAAGCGACCATTGAGAAGGCAAGAGTCTCTAGTCAAAAAAATCAACAAAGAGGCGACAAAACAACAACCTCCAGAAGATATTTGCTTGACACCTCCACCAAGTCCCGTACAAGTTGGTAAAGTTTCAGTGGCGGGAACTGGCAACAAAGTTTCAAAGTTGAGCAAAAATTTCGAAAATCCGGTTGTTGTTAAAAGAAATAATCAAATTGCCAATAAAGTAGACGATTCGAAAAGGGAATCAGTTTGTGAGCATTCAAGTTTAATGAAAATATTACAAGAGTTTAGTATAAAGGATAAACAAGAAAAAGCGATTGTTGTTGAAAATGATTTGCCATCCCTGACACCGTCTTTGGTGGAATTTGAAAAAAGCTTGAATAATCATGTAACGGAAGATTTTATAAATGCAGAAAAAAATCACACTAAAGCTGTTTGTAGTTGATTTAGTTGTAATAATTATACATATTATTAATATTTCAACGTTGTGTTCTTGCGAAAAGGCCTAGTCAACAATATCTGTTTCCGCCCGGATTAAGGAAATATGTATTTAGAACAATTTAGCCTTAATCGAGACGTTAATTTCAAAATAAGACTTCAATTTGATATCATATCAATAATATTTTAGTTTTATGTTCTTTCAAAAGGCCTATAGTCAACAAATAATTTAGTCCAATTCCATCCGGGAAATATTAGAGAACATCAGTTGTTTTGAGAGCAGATTTATTTTTATTTTGATATGTATTTCCGCAGCTGTAAAACTGAAATGCTTGCTAAAATTTTCAATTTTCTTTTATGTACAGAATGTATATTTTTATTATTTTTAGGTAGATATATATTATATTTCGTTAGCTGGATACGAATAAGTTTTGTTCGTTGTTAAAACATCATCATATTAATTTATAAGTAAAGCATTTTGAGTAATACCTATACATCAATATTTTTCTATTTTATTTAAATTGTAAACGTTAATTTGTAAGTTATTTAAATATATCCATATAACTTAAGTCTTGTATGTTTTATGCGCTTTAATATAGATTCTGTAGTTGTTACATAATTTTGTGTGTTCATGTAAATTTTTATTATTTATAAAAATTAACGACATGCGTGTCCTAAATTCTACATGATTAATTTATGCGAAAATTCTATTAAACTTTTGTCACTGTTTAGTTAACAAGATTTAAACAAACAAAAAGTATAATAAATGTTAAAAAATTCAATTGTGGGATTATGGTTTTGACACAAGGTAAAAAATCTCGTGTATTTTACCAAAAAATTAAGGATGCACTAATAATTTTTAATGTAAACAAGACGAGATGAGTGTTTAATTTCGTCGCTAATATACGGAAGTTTAGAAGTGCCACCCGAATTTGAATTTAATAATTGTAACAATACAAATCAGAATCCTGAGATATAACGTGATATAACTATATGTCAGTATTTTGAGATATGTCATAGCCAAAGAAATTTATGGGTTTTTCAAAAAAATTTGCGAGGGCAGGCTGATTTTTACAGGGCTGATTGGAGACTGTGTCCTGAGTATTGAGCCAAAAAATCACACTCGAAAGCCTTGTGCGTTCGGCCATATTGGCCTTTTTCTTAGTTATTTTTTTTCGACAAAATGACCTTAACAAAACTTGTAGATAATAACATTCTGATCAACTTTGCCTCATTCCTTTTTTTGCTATCTATTTTAGTTTAGGCGTTGCGGCCATTTTATTGCTCCAGAATTCGCAAAAAAATTAAAATAGCAAACCTGCAGATTATTGTAACTTTAATAAAATTACTGGTAATGTACTCCATTACGTTTTCGGTTTCAGTCCAAGAAATGATACATTACATCACTAATCCGGTGAAATTATTTTCTCGGAGTGAAAGCGTGAAATCGAAATGATGTTTTTTTTAACAATACTGGGACCTGTTACCTGTTTGAAAAGTGACAAAAGTTTTTTTTTCTACAATCGGCCTAGAAAGTAGACTTTGTCGATTAGATTTGTGCTCGCAAAGTAGACGTTTCCTATGATGACCTCCACTTTGCCGCGTTAGAGCGTCAAACTACGTCAAAATCCTTCACTTTGTCGCTCTAGAGCGGCAAAGTAGTAAAAGCGCTTGCTTTTACTACTGGTTTCTTTGAACCTGAACTATTTTTTATCAAATGCGATTGTAAAAAAATCAAGTGTGCATTTGCCAATATCAACAATATCTTTCGATCGGCAAAGTACCACTTTGCGCTCTTAATACACAAATAGCTATTGTGCAACCGTCCGCGAAATTCAATTTCGCGAAACGCCACTTTTTACCTGCAAAATGTGACAAATCCTTAGAAACGCTATGCATGCCACAATGTCCACCAGGTCAAATAAAATTTTTCAAATGCCTAAAAGGCCGTACAAGCGAAAGAAATAAAGTTACAATAAAATATCATCAAGCAAAGTAATAGAGAATTTTATTAGGTATAATAATCTGCAGGTTTGCTATTTAATATTTTTGCGAATTCTGATGCACCAAAGTTGCCGCAGCGCCTAAAGTAAAATAGCTAGCAAAAAAAGTCATGAGGCAAAGTTGATCAGAATGTAATTATCTACAAGTTTTGTCGAAAAAAAAATAAATAAGAAAAAGGCCAATACGGCCGAACGCACAAGGCTTTCGAGTGTGATTTTTTTGGCTCAGTACTCAGGACACATTCCCCAATCAGCCCTGGAAAAATCAGCCTGCCCTGGCAAAATTTTTTGCGGCCCAGGTATAAATTTCTTGGGCTATCACCCGTCTCCCTATTTACCTACTGCTGGGTTTAAACTCCTTTGTTTATATTGTCTCTATCTATTTTATCACGTACTAACCAGGCGCTTACTGATAAGCAGAGCAGCAAAATAGCAGAATAATATGGGAAAGCCAAGACAGGATTCAAAGCAAAATATATTTTTCTGTTTTTTCTATCACCCAAGGAACGAGTCGGAGGCTATTTGTCTGTAAAATGTCATTACGAAATCTTATGGACATCTTCAAAACAACGTCTTTTTTTTTTTTTTGAATTTTCAAACGTAATGCAGACCTAAAAAAGACGTCTTTAAGATTTTGTGTGCTGTCTGGGTAAGTGGTTCTGAGTCACTGTTGGGCTTGTAGGTACATCGGTGCAGCACTTTTGGGACACCCTGTATAAATAAAACGCAAATAATTGACAAAATTGCTTAAAACCAAGAAACTTTTGTATTTATATATTTTTTGTACACCCTGTAGTTTCTGAGAAAAGACATAGGTCCCTAATAAAATGCCCACCCTGTACATCTCATATTTTGCTTTTATTGCGAAATCCTAGTTCATAACTCAGAATCCAAACTTTTTCTCAGAATACTGACTTTTATATTAGAGTTCTGACTTATAAGGCAAAATTTTGAGTTACTTTATAACTCAGAATTCTAGGCAGTACCAATATACCGTTTTGGCAACCTCACTTGACTTGCAAATTACTCTGGGGGTGGTTATTTAAGGGGTTAAACCTAATAATTGCGATTTATCGAAAAAAGGGTTTTTGTGAAAATAAGTACATTTCCGCCCTAGTCTCGGGTACAAACGGTACTGGAAGTTATAGGCAGTACCAATATACACCGTTTGGCATTTAGGGTACCTAATAAGACTTGCAAATAAGTTTAAGTGTGGTTCAAGAGGGTAAAACTGATAATTGCGATTCATCGAAAAAATAGGGTTTTTGTGAAATATGGACTTTTCCACCCTAGTCTCGGGTAGAAATGTCCTGGAAGGTATAGGCAGTACCAATATACACCGCTTAGGGTACTTAAAAAGACTTGCAAATAACTTTGAGGGTAAAACTAATAATTGCGATTCATTGAAACAAGAGTTTTTGTGAAAATATGGACATTGCCACCCTAGTCTAAGGCGCAACTGGCAACTGGTGCTTGAAGTTATAGGCAGTACCAAAATACACTGTCTAGGGAACCTATAAAGACTTGCAAATCATTTTGAGGGTGGTTCAAGGGGGTAAAACTAATAATAAGTATTTGAAATTTTATGGAAAGTTATAAAACAAAATAAATAAATAAAAAAAAACTGATGCCACAGATCAATCGCCAATATTCGGCAGTTTGGCTGCTAACTTTTAGCTGCCAAGTTCACAACCGTTCTACACTGTCTATCTTCATGTAAAAAATCTCCTGATAGAGAAATCACAAGCCAGTCAGAGTGAATTCGATTGGTTGAAACTGGTTTTCTGACTGTTTTTCCGTCTGATTTGAGCAGAGGATTTAAATGAAAGTTTCAGGAAACCTACTGCATTACAAAACCAAAAAAAAATAAAAAATCAATTGCTCCAAAATAGGATTTTCTTTATTACACATATAACTTAAAACATCTAAGTTCTTAGTTCGTATATTTGAATATAAGCCTCAGTCAATGTAATCATTTGCGGCAGAATGTCTGTTACATGCAAATCTTGCATTTCATACCATTGCCCAGTGGATTTTTGTAAAATGTGCACCTTATAGGTCCCCTTTCCTGGCTCACCATCATGAACAATATTTGCTACAAGATCGTAGATGGTGTTTTTGTGTTGGGCTTTCACTTCGGGTGTCAAAAATTCACCAAAATCTACATTCCTAAAACAAATTCAGCATGTAAAATGTAAAATTCCTAGATGGTGTTGTAAAATCGGTACTTACTTGACAGGAAAATTAACAATAGTAGGATTTTTCTCTATAAAAAAGGTATTTTTAGTAAACCTTTTTATATACAAAATCAAATATGGAGGCAATTGATTTATCTCAAATCTTTTCATAAAATTCTCTTTGTAAGTTTTATACTCCTTCTCAGTTTGGCCATTGAATTTAGCCAGTAATTGATATAAATTTACTTGTGGAATGATATTTTCTTTAAACTCATCAATAAACAAAGGGGGAGGTGGCAAATCACAAGTCAAATATAAAAATGTAGACTCAGTTTCGACTTCTTGATATTCACTGGTTAACATCAAAGCCCTTTTTTGTTTTTCATCCATTTCCATTGGAGGAATTCTTCTGGTAAATATTTTCATGTTGCCCAAAAAGGACTTGTAAATGATAGAACTGTCTCGTTTCTTAGTGCCATTTAAAGCTTTGTGCAATGCGTTCAAGAACCAAGACAAAAAATCAATCGGATCTCCTTGTTGGGTAAATTGAAATGTTTTTTTACTCCACAAAACGACAGCTTGTAACATTTCGTGTGGAGAAACGTGAGCTTTAAAGTTTCTTGGATTCCACAGTTTCCTCATTAACTCCCCAAAACGCTGAACTAATAAATAAGAAGAATCTCCTGGTGGTCTTTTAATTTTTGAATAATTTTGTTCTCTTAAAAAGTAATTACGCAGTGGAACTACATGAGAGAGAGCTTGTAAAACTACATTACAATAATCATTAGCTTTAATATTGTTTAGGCCAACTATTCCAGGCATGTAAAGGGAACCATCTATGGCTCTTGATAGTTTTGTACCATTATCAAGGTTTTTGATGTCATCTTGAGTGAATGTGGGATTCAGGACGTACTTTATATCATCCAAGGAAGAATCTATAATGAAAGTATTAAATAGCCTACAAGTTACTACAAAATAGCTACTTACCAATAATCTCATAGTTATCAGGCAAGCAGTAAAACTTCAAGGTATGCAAGTTAAGATACACATGATGTCCTTCAGCTACTGAATGTGTGTAAGCATGTGTATTTGTGCCTCTGCCTTGGAAATACTTGCCGCAAACCAGACAAGCGTACACATTAATGCGGGTTAAAGATACAGAGCAGAGCTTTTCAAAATCGAAGTCCAAATATTGACGGTTGATTGTGTCAAGGTAGGGGCATAATCTGTGAGTTCTTGCTGTTAAAATGGAAAGTTGGCTGTTAATTATTGATGGTTTCGAGAAAGGTTTTACGTACTTGTGCTCCTGGATATTTTTATGGGTTCTATAGGTTCCGTTTTAGTGGTTTGGAGTGGATCTAATTTGAATTTTTTGATGGGTGGCTCTGATTTGCTATCCATTTCTACAGATACTGATGAATTTATTTGATAATTAAATACTAATAAATAAAACTAAAAAATGTTATGTTAACCTCGAAAAGTAAACAACAGCTGGAACAGTTTGAAATTGACATTTGACTGACAGTTGCTACTGTACTGTCACGGACTGTCCGTGTGTTCGGCGATCTGAGTTCTCCGAGCATGAATATACCGTTTGTTTATTTGAAAAGTTTACTCGGTGCAGGCTCATTCGCGTTCGTTTTTTAAAATTTCTGGCACCCTGCTGATACACTGATACAGCGTTAAACTACTCTGTTCGCTCTCTGGTCACCTGATTACGGCTCCGCTCAGCAAAATACCGAACGCAAGGTGTAGTTGAGTTCGGAATGGAATTAGTGCAGTGCTAGTGCGGTGTTTATGTAGTGCAATGTTATCTCACGTGATGAAGGTGTAATCGGCGGTGCAACACCGAGTACACCATCATTTTGTACCGAAGGTGGGTTCGGCTTGCTGAGTCCGTGCACTCCGAGTGACTCCATTCGCACTCCAGCCGCTCGGCTTTTGCTTTTTCGCGTATTAGGGGTGACTCAATTAGCGTTCGACTATACGGAGTGGAGTAAATGGAGTTCACTCTAAAAGTTCCTGCTCGGAAAGAGAATTTTTTAGAGTAAGCATGCGTAGAAGTGAAATGTGGAAACTGTCAAACTTGTTGTGGTGGACCTCATTCGATTTTTTTTTTCTAAATTGATTTTCATTAAATAAATGCACAGTGACCTCAGTAAAATTATCAACTTTCTAATACTGTTTAACTACCCTATCTTCATCATTATCATCAAGATAAATTTCCTTGACAAAGTTAAACAGAGACAAAAGCATCATATTATTCATTAATGTGGAGAAGTTGCAGTTAAGCACACGAAAGACGAAAGGAAGTGAAAAAAAAATTGAAACTGGAACTGTTGTAGGTCGTTTGTGTATTAATTTTTCACTCTAATCACTCCTAGATCACGTGACAACAATCTGGTCTTACTCCACTCCAACTCCGTGCTGAATAGCTGAACCCAGCTCGAGTAAAACGGTGTCCTACCATCTTCACACCAGGGACCCGGACCGGAACGATATTGAACCGAAAACCGGAACGAAACTGTAGCTGGGTTCGGCTATTCAGCGCGGAGTTGGAGTGGAGTGAACAGAGCTAATGGAGTCACCCCTAATAGGTAAATAGCATTACCCGAAACTTAACCCGAACGGCTGGTGTGCGAATGGAGTCACTTGGAGTGCACGGAGTGAGCAAGCCGAACCCACCTTGTTTTTTTTTGCGGACCGGAACCGGAACGGTACCCATATTTCATAGAAATGTTGTAAGGTAGACAGAACCGGAACTCATATCAGTTTTTACCGGTATTTTTCGGTTTCAAGATTACATAAATTAGGCTGTTTGCTGATTGTTCGTATCGTAAAAAATTTATTTATTTAATACTCTACTAAAAACAGAGCGATGGAAAGCGCGCATTTCTGAACTAGGCAAGGCTACACCAAGGATACTACACATTACACACTACTACAGGATTGCTCATCGGCCTTGATTTTTGGAATCAAGTTCATATGGTGTTGCACCGTTGCCGACGTCATTAACGGTGTCGTTTGCGGTTTGCGCCAGCGGTCGTAGTTAAGAATACCTATACATTTATGATGAAAAATATTATTTAATTTTGAATTAGCAAAATAGGCAAAGAGAGAGAGAGATTAATAGGATGTTAATTAATGTACTAAAACCAAGTATGCGTAAAGCAAAAGTCCGCGGAATCATAGCCTATGGTGCAAACACCCTACGTCAAGGCAAGAAACCACACGCTCCGACGTCATCACTGGTACTTTAATTTTTCTGCTAAATTAAATATATTTTTTAAATTTTTCTGTTAGATATTTGTGAAAAACTATACCGGTAAGAACCGTTAAAACCGAAATTATTGGTCCGAACCGAATCGAAATATTTCTCTTAGAACCGGAACCGTAACAGAACCGATATTTGTCATGACGTTGTGGACCGGAACCGATATTTCATTACAGTCCGGGTCCCTGCTTCACACCATTCGGGCACTAAATTATTTCCAAACGCAAATAAAGTGTACATCAAACTTACTCCTACCAATTAACGAACGCCACAGTGTCAATAATGTAAAAAGCGTCGACACTTTTTACCCTTCCGAACTCACCTTGAGGATCTTCATTTGTATTTGCTCTACCCTGCTCTAAAAATCAGAAAGCCGCTAGGAGCTGCTATTTAAGAGGTTTTAATAGGAACGAGTGACCGCCGATCTACTCTTCAGATCTGCTTGAAGCCAAGGTTCCTCAAGGATAATACACACTACTACTACAGGATGTCAGCTGTTTGCGCCAGCGGTCCTAGTTTGCGTTTTTATTCTCATCAGATTTTACCGATGGGTCCACCATTCTATATCGGTCATCGGTCATTGCAATTTTTCATTCACTAAACAAAGATAGCTAACTCATCGGTGTGAAGTCAGCGATTAGAATAAAAACAAGTTATTTAGAATTTAAATTTATTATAAAAAATATCATTCAATTTTGATTAACATAGGGCTGGTTTCTCAATAGCAAGTCACCCTCGGGTAAACATTGCAACTGGACACGTTTTAACCTGGAGTTAAAACCAACTCGCAGGTGACTCGCAATTGAGAAACCGAGCCATAATGGGCAAAGAGAAAGATGCAAACGAGATCCAAAAAGGAGTTGTTTTAGAATGTTAACTAATGTTGTAAAACCTAGTAAAATGCATGAAGCAAAAGTCCGCGGAATCATAACCTGTGGTGGAAACAGCCCAAGGATGATACACACTACTACAGGATGGCTCATCCTCATAAGGCCTGTGTGTAACAAGTCCCCCTCGTCTCCCTATGCCAAACAACCAGTTGTGACGTAAGCAGCATGGCGTTTTTCGCCTTGACGTAGGCTGTTCAAACAGCTGACGACTTAGTTATGACGTCGGCAATGGTTGAAAACAGTTGAAAACCAATATGGCGGCGATTATCAAAAACGAGGCCGATAAGCACTCCTTAGCGAGTGTATTCTCCTTGAAAACAGCCTACGTCAAGGCGAGAAACGACATGCTGCTACGTCACAACTGGTGATTTAGCGTGATAAGTGGCTTCAGATTTGTTCTACGTAGGCCTTATGAGGATAGGATATCCGGTAGTAATAGTAGCGTGTATTATCCTTGGGTCAAATGTCACTTTCCGCTTTGTGAATTGTCATTTGTCATTGTCATTAGTTTTCAAGTATTCAAGAAGATCCGGAAAAAGTTTTCTATTCATTCAGTTTTTTGACCCTAGAAATGAATAGGAATTTCAATTACAATTAATCATTTTGCCAATTAAAATTAAACCGTTATGTTATGCAGATAGCATTAATTAAAATTTGTCGAATCTCGAAAGTGATAAAGTTATTGGTCTGGTTGCCAAGGAAACACCGGTAAATAGAACCCCGAAAACATTCCAAAAATGGCGTTCAACTTGACCTTTGTGGGGATTTTCCTCATTTTCCTCATGGTTTTCCATGGAAATGCCCAAAAAGTGGTCGATTTAAACGAAGATAATTGGTCCCAGATACTCAAGGGCGAATGGATGGTGGAATTGTAAGTAGATAATGGAATTTTAATTACACATTTTACGTGTCAACAAGTGGAGTCATACCCACACAAATTATTATTTATAGATATCTTTATCTGTTTATTTAGCCTTACGGTCTTGTTTTTCTAATTGAAAAACCATCTGTTTGTATCAATTTATTATTGTGAAGCTTCACAGCTAATACAGCTATTATACTACTAGATATAAAAACATAATGCAGCATAGTATTTAAATAGAGCTTATGGCCATTTTATGTGGGAGGGAAATGGGCAATAGCTGACGTCACCACACACATAGCCTCACTTTCGATAGGGGGACAAACAAAGCATTTAAAGACTATTTACCTGCTCTAAGCTATTTACAAACATCACTTATATGGAAAATGGCATAAATATGATTTGTGATGTTACAGCTAGTAACTGATGTGTGTAAATAGTCCTTAAATGCTCTGTTTGTCCCTCCATCTCAAGGGAGGTTATGTGTGTGACGTCATCTAGTACGTACTTGACTTGCCCCAAACTCACTGCACAGCGTTAGATATTTTAATTAATAAAATTGGGGGGCAGATCAATGATTTATCTAACCTAAAATATAAATCCATACTTTGAATGCTCAGAAACTTTTCAATCAACTATCATAAATGGAGCTGAGAAAAATATCAGTTAAATTATTATCATGTAGCTATGCCCCATGGTGTCCTGCTTGCAAAGCTCTAGAACCCAGATGGAAAGATTTTGCCAGATCAGGCCCAGCCCTAGGCATCAAAATTGGTAGTGTAGATGTTACCACTGCCCCAGGGCTTAGTGGTAGGTTCATGGTAACTGCTTTGCCTACAATATTCCAGTAAGCTAAACTGCATACTAAAGTAAATCTTGCAATAAAACTCTTTGATTTTTTTTAGTGTTTTAAATGGCCAATTTAGACAGTTTAAGGGGGCTCGAGACACTGACTCTTTCAGTTTGTTTGTTGAGGAAAGGAAATGGGAGCAAGTTGAACCAATTCCAAGTTGGAAGGCGCCTGATTCTTTACAAATGAGCGCTGTTGCGTCATTTTTCAAGCTTTCTCAGACTTTAAGAGTAAAAATTGCAAATTCGAAAAAACATCAGTTTAATTATGATTTTTTTTTATAGCAAATTCACAACACATTCACCAATGAATATGGATTGCCTACATTTGTGTCATATCTAATTTTTGCCATTGCTACAATTATTATGGGTGCTTGCTTGGGACTAGTAAGTGAAATTATTTAATCATAATAATCATATAAATAGGCATATTTTTTAGATTCTTGTTTGTGCAATAGATCTTATTTTCCCACAAAGACCTGTTCCTGCAAGTGTTTTATCCGGAGATATAAAGGACAAAGATAGTGATAATGGATTTTTGGTAGGTACCTTTTTTGTGTTTACTCATTATCGGAAATAATAATTCTTTTTAGAATGATGATGATATAAAAGATGATCTGATTGATCAAGAAACAACAGATTTTGATGACAATGTCTCGACAGATTCAGAACAAGCTAAATCCCAACAATCTCCTTCTGCAGGCAAGGCCAGAAAGCGTAAAACAAAAAGACTAGACATGTGATATAATTGTAATAAAATACCTATATTATGTAAAAAAAAAAAATATATACGATCAAATTGTTGCAAAATTATGTAAAGTTTATGACTAAACAAGTAACTCATAAACTTTGTGTATTTTATAAAACTTAATAATGTAATTCCTATTTATATAGTTTGTTTGAAATCATTCTCACAAGCAGTAAGTAGGCAAAAGATGAATGGTACTTTTGTCAGAATGATTTGGTCTGGAACAGTAATACCAATATTTAATTATTAGTTGAAAATGTTGAATAATAATATATTAGCAAGGGTTCCAAAGAAGTCAATCGACTTTTTATACTCTTTGTAAATATTTGCTTGCCAGAAATTTACTGGTTTTTAGTATATTTAAGAGGCAAATAGTAAGTAACAATAGAGTCAATCTTAAGATATGAAACACTGAAGGTGGAGGTTTGCTGACACTGATTAATAATGTTGAAACATAAAATAGGCTGCTTTTATTCCGAGGTTGTGTACCTACCTGGCGCTATTATATGAGTATATTTTAATGTAGTTTTTGTGATATTTTTTTATGGAAAAAGTATCATGTGAATTTTTTTTTTGTATATTGCCTTTTTTAACTACCAATACCAAATTTCTAATAAAAGTTTACAATAATTTTTGATCGTTTTAATAAAGATTATCCACCCATCTAGCCCACCAAATAAGATTGTTCAACCTAATAAGGTGTACGTTCGCTAGTCTCAAGTTGACATCAGGTCTGCGAGTGACGTCACTCACAGACCTCGACGCTGTGCTTGTGAGTTAATTTTTTCCTCGATTTCAAATATAGAAAAGGTGATTTTAACAAGATTATAAGGTATTCGTTTTGTTAATTATTAATCTTTAGTATTTTAAACTCGGATAATGCATTTTACGCCAAGAGTTGAGGTCTGCAGCCAACGTCACAAATACTGGGGAGTTGTGGCGTTTGTTAAAGGGGGTGTGACCTTAAAATACAACTTGCCGCATCGCTATTCAAAAAAGGTAGATACGCCTAAATAAAGTTTTGTCTATTCATCGATTTTACAATGGACGTAACGTAATCGTAAAGACGTACCATAAGTTCTAAGCATGCGCACATCAAAAAAGTTATTTGCGTCAAATATGTATATGACCAACTCTCATCTCTCTGGTTCTCCATTCGTAGGTCGAAGGTCGATCGAGTGTACGCCAATGGTATTTCCCAGTTTCTGACTATCCTTTCAACCTTTCCATGTTAGTATGAATTCAATCCTATGTACAGTTTTTGAATAATTATACAGTTTTGTATGTTGCCGTATGGTTCTCCATTCATAGGTCGATCAAGTGTACGCCACTGGTATTTTCCTGTTTCTGACTACGCCCTCAACCTTTCCATGTTAGTATGAATTCAATCCTATGTACGGTTTTTGAATACGCGTACAGTTTTGTATATTTTCGTATGGTTCTGCATATGTAGGTCAATCTAGTGTGCGCCATTGGTATTTTCCTGTTTCTGACTACCCCATCAACCTTTCGTTGTTGCAACCCTCAATGGTTGCACCTGGTGTGCTCAATCCCGAACTAAACCATCAAATGCACGAAAGCCAGCGCATCTGTTCCTTTCAAATCGGGGTCGACTAGCACCGGAGCGAGTAGCTCCAGTGTTCTAAACTCTTGAAAGAAATACAACTAGTTCGAACACTGGAGCTATGCAAGGATAATAAACACTACTAAGGATTGCTTATCGGCTTCGTTTTTGGTAATCGCGGCCATATTGGTGTATCACCATTGTCGACGTCATAAACTAAGTAGTCAGCTGTTTGCGCCAGCGATCCTAGTTTGGAATTTAAAAGGACCCCCCATTTCTTATGGAAAAGTGATCTATGTGGAATTTTGCTGAATTTCTGATATTGTGTATAGGGAGTCGTCCTTAACAAAAGTGATCATTGCGCTAATGTTCAATACCCAACAGTTTTCAAGATATCAATTAAAAACTTTTTTAATTTGATACTTTTCAGTATGACGTTACCAGTATGCTCACAGCACCGAAAATTATAACTATCCTTTTCACTTTTGACTTTGACTACCTTTACTTATACTCTTCTCCTTTCAACATTTAGGAAAAAAAAAAACAATAACTGGTACAAATGAAATCGCTATATGACAGACATCATGACATGAAGTTGACGATTGCGGCAGGAGCTAGGTGTTGTTTACAATGGCTGTTTTCGATTCGCTTTGGTTCGTCTTCAAGGCCAACCAAATTAGAACCAACCGTTTTCGATTGCAAACCGGTGACGTGACAGGCATCGCTAGGTCCGTCTAAATTCGAACCAGCTTCGCGAATTAGTTTGAATTTCGGTTTGCTTTTATAACCTTAAAACATGGCGCCTTTTTTGACAAACCAAATTCAAAAACTGTCAACCAACTTCAGTCATATCCGAACCAAGACCGAACCTGGTTGCGAATCGAAAACGGCCAATACCTACTTATTTGTCACTAATCGCTATCGCTATCTTTTTTTTTCTTAATGTTAAAAGGAGAAGAGTAAAGTCAAAGTCAAAAGTGGAAAGGATAGTAATAATTTTCGTTGCTGTGAGTGACGTCATACTGAAGAGTATCATATTAAAAAAGTTTTTAATTGATGTCTTGAAAACTGTTGGGTATTGAACATTAGCGCAATGAACACTTTTGTTAAGGACGACTCCCTATATACAATATCAAAAATTCAGCAAAATTCCACATAGATCACTTTTCCATAAGAAATGTGCGGGGTCCTTTATGATGAAAAATATCATTTAATTTTGATTAACATAAATAAGCAAAGAGAAAGATGCAAACAAAATCTAAGAAAGAGTTGTTTTTTAGGTCCGATTTAAGGTCAATTCCCACAGGAGTCTCTGACAGTTTGCAAACTGTCAAAAACAATCGCTCAGCTGAGTTACAGTTTTATCTTGTAACCACAGCATTGAAAACATGCATGGGCGATGCTTACCGACAGTTTGCAAACTGTCAGAGACTCCTGTGGGAACAGACCTTTATTCGCCTTCTGATAAACTGTCAGGTATGCAATCTGACGGGTAAAAACGCAATCTGTAATCTTATTGATCGGCCAGTTATCCGCCGATCAATAGAATTATAGAACTGTAAATTTATCTTGCAGATAGTTACCAGCAAATTTATCTAAGGATGAATAAACCGGGCCTTAGAAATTATAATATTAATGTAATGTAGTAAAACCATGTATACATAAAGCAAAAGCCTGCGGAATCATAACCTGTGGTGCAAACAGCCTACGTCAAGGCGAGAAACGTCATGCTGCATACGTCACAACTGGTGATTTGGGGTGGTGTGGTGTGGGGCTTCAGATTTGTTCTACACAGTTTACGACGCCTCGCTGAAGCGCTAGCGCTGGTGATAAACGACCCCGGGGCCCGGAGCTTGACGCCCCGATTAAAAAGAACAAAAGAACGGTTGTTTACATTTCAAATTCGTGATCCAGAGCGTCCTGGGGCGCCCAAGCGACTAAAAAGAAAGCAGCTCATTTTTAATTAACGTGAGAAAAACGAACGGAGTCACTTTCTTTAGGAAGTACCATTATCAACTAGACACTTAAATTTTTTTGGGTTTTATTTTAAAAGATTGCGTATTTTACGATTCATGCTGCCCCATCTTACTCCTCCTCGCAAACCAGCACAAACCGCAACAAAACAACGAACATTCGAGTGCAGAATCGCAGAAAGTCCAGCTCTAAATAACAAGCAAACTAACGCAAAGTGTAATTAGAGCTTGGAAACGATGTCTACATAAAACGGTGGGTTAGAACGAAGAACGAACGCCCTTGGCTAGAGCAATGAAAGTGTAGAAAGAAATACCCAACCAAATGGCATTTTATTTCAACCTTGCGTTCGGTATTTTGCTCAAAGAGCAGAGCGTGTTGAGCGGAGCCGTAATCACGTGACCAGCGAGCGAACAGAGCAGTTGAACGCTGTATCAGAGTGCCAGAAAATTTTAATAAACAAACGCGAATGAGCCTGCACCGAGTACACTTTTTAAATAAACGAAGGGTAAATTTAAGCTCAAAGAACTCAGATCAAAATACCGAACGCATGGTAAGTAAACATCTGTTTTTGACATCTCTGTCATTGGTCCTTCATTCATTTCTTTGCTGTTTTAGCAAAATAATAGCAATTTCCAATAAAAAAATTAGCAGACCACAAAAAGTGCATTTTTTTCTCAATACTTCCATTTCCATTGTCATGGCTTCTAGCCAGTTTCAAGTTAAACCACGTTTTCTAAGGTGAACGTTTTCCTCGACACTTTCACAGTTCCAGGACAGGCATTAAAATGCAAAACAACCACCATTCGGGACATCCCAACTCCACGGCCATGAATATGCGAGAAAAGGAGAAGTACATTGAAAATTTTAACTTTCCCTTTTGCGAGGAGGCCTCGAAGTACCAAAAAGTCGCCAAAATCGGTCAGGGTACTTTTGGAGAAGTCTTCAAGGCCAGAGACATCAACAACCCCAAAAAGTATGTTGCCATGAAAAAAGTACTTATGGACAATGAAAAAGAGGGTTTTCCCATTACAGCTTTAAGAGAAATACGTATTCTACAACTCCTCAAACATGACAATGTTGTAAATTTGATAGAAATTTGTAGGACCAAAGCTTCTGCTGCTAATAGATATAGATCCACATTCTATTTGGTTTTTGATTTTTGTGAACACGATTTGGCAGGGCTTTTGTCCAATGTGAACGTTAAATTTAGCTTAGGTGAAATTAAAAAAGTACTTCAGCAATTATTGAACGGATTGTTTTATATTCATTACAATAAAATCTTGCACCGAGATATGAAAGCTGCCAACGTACTTATTACCAAGCTTGGTGTCCTAAAACTAGCGGATTTTGGACTTGCAAGAGCATTTAGTACTAATAAAAATGGTATGCCTAATAGGTAAGTTATAAGTAATAACTTATTTTAAATTATATAAATTTTTATGTTATAGGTTTACCAATAGAGTAGTGACTTTATGGTATAGGCCACCAGAATTGTTGCTTGGGGAGCGTAATTATGGTCCTCCAGTTGATTTGTGGGGGGCCGGTTGTATTATGGCTGAAATGTGGACTAGAAGCCCAATTATGCAGGTGCTACTAGGATTTTTACTGAATTTTGTATTGTATGTTAATATTTAAATTATTTTTCAGGGAAACAGTGAGCAACAACAACTCACGTTAATCTCGCAGCTGTGCGGCTCTATTAATCCTCAAAGCTGGCCTGGAGTTGAACATTTGGAGCTTTATAAAAAGATGGAATTGCCTCAAGAACAAAAAAGAAAGGTAGGTTTTTTCAAATTTTCTATAGGCAAAGACAATTATTTCACTATGAAATTGTGTTTGTTTTAGGGATCGACCGATACTGATATCGGTATATCGGCCATATGGGCCTTCTTGGCCGGTATCGGTATCGGCCGATATGTTAACCACAATATTGGCCTATATCGGTATTGGTTTTTAAAAATATAAATTGCTTAATATTTCAATTGCTGAGGATTTTTTCAAGGAAATTCATAAAGAAATTCTAAATAAAAAACAAATCAAGTTTATTCCTATTCAAAATTTAGGAAAAAAGTCATTAAAAACATGGAAGTAAAGTAACACACTAAGGCCCGGTTTATTCATCTTCAGATAAACTTGCTGGTAATATCTGCATCAAGATAAATTTACTGTTCTGTAATTCTATTGGTCGGCGGATAAGTGGCCGACTAATGGGATTACAAATTGCGTTTTAATCCGTCAGATTGCATACCGCATGACAGTTTATTAGAAGGCAAATAAACTGGTACTAAGTTAAAAAAGTAATACACTGGCCAGCAAAATTAACGCACCACTACTATTTTTGAAAAATATTTTTTATTTCATAATTTTGATTTTTTGATCAAATACTTTTATGTCTTGATTAAATATATTCTTATTCTGACCTAATAAGGGTATTAACAAAAAATAAAATTCCAAAAGAAGGTATGAAAAAAAAAAAAAATTTTAACTTTAGTAAAAAATAATTAATAACCGGTATTTCCTCCTCTATTTTGAATAATAGCACGGCAGCGATTTTTCATGTTAAAATTACTGGCCTTATCTCGCTTTAATCAAAATTATTCCATATTTTGACAATATCTACAGTAAGCCCATTCAAAGTGTTAGGAGGGTTAGGAAGCTCTTAAAAATGGCGACAGATCATGTCCCAGTCATCCTCAATTGGGTAAAAATTAGATCTGTTTGCTAGCCAATCCATAGTTCCAATCCCAACCTCATTAAAATAGAAATAAGTAAGTGGTGCATTAATTTTGCTGACGAGTGTATTTAATCTTCCATTAGTCGCGCGGGTATCTGGGAGATACATGCCCCATATTTTTGCAAATAATTCAAAAAGGCAGGACCAATTGTACTGACGCAATGTTTCTTTGCTTTGTTCAATTGGGGGATTCACCGTATAGATTTTTATTTCCTACTGAACTATTATAACCATATAATTTCTTGGTTACAATAATCATAAACAGGGTTTTAACTCCCAAGGGAGTTAAGGATATCATAACTCCCAAGGGAGTTAAGGATTTCCATAACTCCCGCTTTCACCTTGAATAGGTGAAACTTTGACCAAAAATAAAAATTTTGGTTTATGGTTTATCTAATATATAAAATTCTCATGTCACAGTTTGAGTTACCTCCGTCCTCCGAAACGGCTTTACGGATTTTTATGAAATTTTATATGTATATTCGGTAGGTCTGAGAATAGGTTTTAAGCTATTTTTTATACCCCTAAGCAGGGATCGACCGGTACCGATATGGCATATCGGCGTATCGGCCTTTTTCAGGTATATCGGTGTATCGGCATATCTGCCCTTCATTGGCCGATAACTTTGGACCGATACAAATCATATTTTAAAAGATCAGTAATCATCACCAAGGCTTTTTTGAAGCTTAAAAGAGCTAATAATTGTGGTTCGTACATATGGGAGTGACTAAGAAGAAAGTAAATATTAGAAATTGTTTTTCATAAATTTATTTTAAATTAATTTTTTTATATTTATATAAAAAAAAAACTGAACATTCTGCTTATCTTAACTCAAATTCAACATTATTTATTTATTAAAAAAAAAAAAAAAAAAACTTTCTGCTTATCTGAACTCTAACAAACAATATTAAAACTAGGAGAAAACAAATAAATAAAACATTCAAACTAAAGGAAAAAGTGCGAGAAAACAAATAAAACATTCAAACTAAAGGAAAAGGTGCGAGGGTGGTCCACCCCAAAATTTTTTAATTTTCCTTTTAAATAACAAATAACTATTATTTTTTATTCCGCCGGGTGATTTTACAAAATATCGAATTTGCTATGCATTTTTTTAGTGATTTTATGATGGTTAATCCGTGTATATCATTATAAATCAATTTTACCTGATTTATACAGCAAAAAATTTATGACAAAATGGTATGGTCGATATATCGGTATCGGCCAATATCGGCTATGAGTATATCGGTATCGGCCGATATCGGTATCGGCTACAAAAAGTCATATCGGTCGATCCCTAGTTTGTTTGATACTTGAATATATACCTACTAGTAGTAAAGTACACTATGCAGTATTACATAATATACAGATGTTTTACAGGTGCCTAAAACAGGATAACTTTTAGATTATACAGGGTGTCCCACGGTGGATGGCGTATTAGACGTTTATGGAGAACTAAGAAGCGGATCATTTTGAAAATGTGGCAACCGGGATAAACGACAATGATCTACACTTTAAAAATATTTTTGACCATGTGGTGTTGCCGCTTCTACTCTAAACTAGTGGCAACATCACTATTTTAAATGGAACACCCCGTATTAAATTGCATATTTGGATTCTACATAAAATTCTAAGCTGATTTCATGTGATATACCCTATACCTAAGTTCAACTGTTTTGGAAATATTGACAGTTGAAAATTGACTTTTTGCAACTTTGACAGGCTGTAGAACCTGAACGGTTAATTTTATAGGAAAACCGATTTTATATTCCTATCTTAGATTTTTATAAACTATCATTTGACAGCAACTTAGAATTAAATCCATGATTAAAAATTTCAGTTAAACTTAATCTCCGGTTAAGTTCAAAGTTGGTGTTAAATGATAGTTTATCAAAATCTAAGATAGGATTGTGAAATCGGTTTTTCTCTAAAATTTACCAATTAGGTTTTACAGCCTGTCAAAGTTGCAAAAAGTCAATTTTCAACTGTCAATATTTTCAAAACAGTATAGGGTATATCACATGAAATCTGCTCAGAATTTTACGTAGAATCCAAATATGCAATTAAATACGGGGTGTTCCATTTAAATTAGTGATGTTGCCACTAGTTTAGAGTAGAAGCGGCAACACCGCATGGTCAAAAATATTTTTAAAGTGTAGATCATGGTCGTTTATCCCGGTTGCCAAATTTTCAAAATGATCCGCTTTTTAGTTCTCCATAAACGTCTAATACGCCATCCACCGTGGGACACCCTGTATAACAAATTGAAGTGCATGCATGGAGATATCGGAAACCATAAGAGATACGAGGCTGGTTAAATTATGGCAAAGTTGCGCAATTTTATGACCAATAAAATTCCGTTTTGAAATTTGAGAAATTCCGAATACTTCCGAAGATATTTGGAAAAAACCGAAATTTTGCAAAATCATTTTTATTTTTTCCAGAGTCTATTTGAAGAGCAATTTCAAAAAAATGTCACTTCATCATTGTCACTTTTTTCCCTTTACAAGATGTTCCTACCAAATTTCAGATTCGACGTTTTGTCTTTGGGCGGCTATCATCAACTTCGTTTTTCTAAATACGGGCCTGGATTTTTTATTTCAGATTTTAAGAGTTTCTGATGTCCCAAAACCAATGAGATATTGCATTTATTCGAAAAATTTATATTATTGGCAAAGTGCCAATAATATAAAAAAAATATAAGAACTTAATGTGTTAAAGAGAGACAGAAATTCCTTTGTGAATTTTGGTAGGAAATTGCTAAAAAGTAATAAAAATAATTTTTCGAATAAATGCAATACGTCATAGGTTTTGGGACATCAGAAGCTCTAAAAATCTGAAATAAAAAATCCAGGCCCATATCTAGAAAAACGAAGTTGATGATGGCCGCCCAAAGACGAAATGTCGAATCTGAAATTTGGTAAATATAGCAACATCTTGTAAAGGGAAAAAAGTGACAATGATGAAGTGACATTTATTTTGAAATTGCTTTTCAAATAGACTCAGGAAAAAATAATATTGCTTTTGCAAAATTTCGGTTTTTTCCAAATATCTTCGGAAGTATTCGGAATTTTTCAAATTTCAAAACGGAATTTTATTGATCATAAAATTGCGCAACTTTGCCGTAATTTAAAAAACCTCGTATCTCTTACGGTTTCCGATATCCCCATGCATACACTCCAATTTGTAGCACCCTGTATAGTAAGCACTAAAAGATGAGTAATCAACTTCCAAATATGGTACAAAGATTTCTCTCCAAATATTTTGATTTTGTCTCTCTTATGCCCGTATTACACCTGTGTATTTTTCCGTGTATTTATCCATGTAGTTCAGGGTAACAACCGAAAAACTTCATACGCATCATTAGTGATGTGAACAAGGGAACGTTCTGATTGTGCTTTCGAGAACATTCGCGAACGTTCGCGCACGAAAAAAAGGTTCGTGCTGAATATTACTTTCGGAGCACATTGAGCACGATAGAGAATATTCAGCATGTTCTCAAGCACGATCCTAACCAATAAAATCACATGACGCCATAGAGTAGAGATATATTTATGGAAGCTGTTGAAGGCAGAGATATATCGAATATTGAGCCAGAGAACCAGGAAGCAATTAGCAGCAATAGTTATTTTTTTTTTGTAAGCAAAGGTAGCGTTGTACTGGAATATACTCAAACTAAAATCACTACATATGAGATTAATTATAGGTCTGTTTCTGCAGAAATCACAAAACAGTCAGAGCGAATTTCATTGGTTGAAAACAGTCAGAAAACTACTTTTAACAATGAAATTCACTCTGACTAGTTTGTGATTTCTGCAGAAACAGACCTTATGTATTTGTATATTATATTTTCCTAAGAAGTTTGAGAATTTTCAGCATATTTATGAAGAATTTTCAGAATATTTATGAAGAATTTTCAGAAGATTCAGAACTTTCACGAGAAATTTGGGAATTTCGGGAAATTTGAGAAAAATCAGAATTTATTTAGAAAAATGTTTTGTTTTATTCAGCTTTTGATAAAAAGCATAAATTCTCGGGTCCTGCTCGTTTTTGCTCGATTATTATCGTTTATTCTCGATGCTGCTCGGAGAACGTTCTCCTAAAATACTTGCTCGTGCATTTTACATCACTACGCATCATAAATCAGCATTATGAAAAACAAAATAATGTTGGCACCCCGAAATACATGAATAAACAGACGGAAAAATACACAGATGTAATACGGGCATTACTTTGTTTACGCAGGTTTTCTATAGTACAATTTCCAAAAACCCTTTCAGATTTTAGATCTTTAGATATCTCTTCTAGGGAAAGCATGCGGCAGTAATAATTAATACTTGTATATAGGGTTTCCATAAAGGTTTTTTGAAATTCAGGACAAAGGAATCAAGAAATCCGGACAAAATCCGGACCTCGCCGAAATAGCCATTTATGCAACAAGTGTGTAAAGTGGAAGACAAGGGCGACAAAATTCACATTCACCTTTACTTTACACAATTATTGCAACTACAAAAAAATTTTACTACCAATAAAATATGTAGGGTAAAAAAATAAATTTGTGGAGTAATTTACTACACCTTTTCCATAAGTAGTTCAGAATGCATCAATTGTATTCCAGTTGTGTAAGTTCAATTTCAGAAAGTGTTATTTGTATTTCAACTTTGTCAGTTGTAGTTCAGAAAATATCATTTGTGTTTCAGATTGGTCAATTATATTTCAGAAAAAGTCATTTGTATTTCAGTTTGGTCACTTATATTTCAGAAATCGTCATTTGGGTTTCAGATTATTTATTTGTAGATCAGAAATTGTAAATTATATTTCAGAATTCGTCAAATGTATTTCAGATATTATCAATGTAGTGTATTAAATAAAATTTATAATGAGTCACCTATACACCTATCTTGTGTTGATTTGGGAAAATCTGCGTATATACCTGATGATTTCTGAACTACATCTGACAATTTCTGAAATATAATTTACGTTTTCTGAACTACAATGAACTAATCTGAAATACAATTGACGCTTTCCGATATAAAACTATCTAATCTGAAATACAATTGACACTTTCTGAAATAAAATAAACTAATCTGAAATACAATTGATTATTTCTCAAATAAAATTAACTAATCTGAAATACAATTGACGCTTTCCGAATTACAATTTACTAATCTCAATTGCAATTGACGCTTTCTGAAATTAAACTGACGATCTCTGAAATACATATGGAAAAGGTGTAGAAAAAAATTAGTGTCCACATCTGTCATTGACATTACACTTCACGCAGTAGTGTGTGAAGTAAATTATTTCACTTACTAATGCGTGAAGTAAAATTTTACGTTTTTTGAATAGTGTGTAAACTGAGTGAGTACGAGTGTTTTCACGATCTCCAAGTTTTCCAGACATTGTTCCGAATTCCGGCCGGACTTCCCCGGACACCCTAAAAAACCAAACATGTCCGGGTAAATCCGGACGTATGGAAACCCTACTTGTATAGAAAACCAAGGTATAAACAAAGTAAGAGAGATAAAATCAAAATATTTGGAGAGAGATCTTTGTACCATATTTGCAAGTTGATTACTCATCTTTTAGTGTTAACTATAGCAATATTTTTCTTTAATTTTGTCACTCAATGAACTATGTCAAAATGTTATGTCAAAAATCTTGACCAATAAAGAAACAATAGCAAAGCAATCTTTGATTGTTTTTTTTTTTTGTTGAAGACCTGTTATCAATCAATCAATCTTTTAGGTAAAAGAACGTCTAAAGCCATACATGAAAGACCCTTACGCAATTGATTTACTTGACAAACTGCTTGTTCTGGACCCATCGAAACGAGCCGACGCTGACACTGCTTTAAATCATGACTTTTTCTGGACTGACCCGATGCCTTGTGAGCTTGGCAAGATGTTAGCCAATCACTCCCAAAGTATGTTTGAATTTTTGGCACCCGCTAGACGAGCTACGCAGATCAACAGACACCATGCCATCCCTAGGCCTACAACTTCAGCAGTGCAAGATAGCGGGTACCAGGATCGAGTTTTTTAGTGGAGGGTCAATAAGTGATTAGTATTTTTTTCTTTTTAATTTGTTTCCAAAGAAATGCAATTTATATTTTTTCTTGTTGGGTTATTTTTTTTTTTTTTTTTTCGTTAGTAGGTTGACAATAATAATAATTGAAACTCAATCAATCAAATTTATTTTTCAAAAAATTGAAAAATATTTGAGATGTACTTGCTTAAATATATACAATGTAGCGGTTACATTTTGTTGTTTGGAACTTATGCAAGTCCAATTCTAGGTTTAAAAAAATATAAAAAAACATGTTTTTCAGACATTTGATTTTCTATTTATTAGTGAAAGCTCAATAAGTGATTAGTTCCCATTATTATTATTATTTTTTTTGGTTATTTTTTCTAAGTTCAGTTAAGTATTTGGATTTTGACTTTTTAAACTCATTTTCTGACTGAAGCTAACTAGAACTACATTACATATGCTATGTAGTTACACAGATAAATTTTTTATTAAATTCCTATGTTTTTGTTTTTGATGTAAATACATAACTTTTCTACATAATATGAAGTTTTTTATTTCCAAGCCCATTCTCTTCATAAAGACGAACTACTGAGAAATGAATAATTTTATCAGTTGTGGATAACAATAAGCAATTTTTTTAGATTGATGACTTTAAAAGGAGAAAAATGATCTGGGTGATGGTGATATCAAATTCAATTCAATACAATAGAATTCCAAATTCTACAATTATGATACCTTTGAGAGTAAGTAAATCTCAACTCATACCTTGTAGAATGAAGGAGCAAATAAGGTTTGAAATAAATTCTAGGCACAAAAAGAAAAATTTTGATAACTTATTGAGTACATTTTATCTGGTCAAACCATGAAAAGCCCTTACATTACACCACAGTTAATATTTATTTAAATGATTAATAATACATGGACAAAAACTTAAGTTCTAATTAATTTTACAAATATAGATAACATAATAGTAGATAATTCTAAAATAAGGTTTTAAAACAATTAAAAAAAAATATATTTAGCCAAGCCAATTATGTGGTTTATCTACTGGCCAATTCATTAGACAACCAATCGAGACCCTCATATAAACCCGATCCTGCAGTAGCACAGGTAGCCTGAATGTACCATTTACGATTTTTCATTGTGTTCAACATCAATTTATCAGTTAGCTCAGCAGTCGACATGGAATTGGGCAAATCTTGTTTGTTGGCAAACACTAATAAAATAGAATTCCGTAATTCTTCTTCTCCCAGCATATTGTGAAGTTCTTGTTCAGCTTCAGCAATACGTTCTCTGTCGTTGGAGTCTACCACAAAAATAATACCATCGGTGTTGGCGAAATAGTGCCGCCAAAGTTTCCTGATTTTGGTTTGGCCGCCCACGTCCCACACAGTGAACGAAATGTTTTTGTATTCTACAGTTTCCACATTGAATCCTATGGTGGGTATTGTTGTGACAATTTCTCCGAGTTTCAGCTTATACAGTATGGTGGTTTTACCGGCAGCGTCGAGCCCTACCATGAGTATTCTCATGGGTCTTTTGCTGAATAATCTTGTGAATACTGAGGAGATTGTCAGGCCCATGGTTAGTGTTGTAGTTGATTTGACTTTTCACAAAGAACTTCCGTTTTGTTGCTGTATCACTAAAAGTTCATCACAAAGGGTCACTAAGAAGAGTGCCAGGTTTGCTAGGAAATTACTACGTAAAATCGCAATTTTTTGTTTGATGTGGAAGATGGGAATGTGGCAAATTTTTATCTTCTATTTGACTAATGCATAAAAAATTTTGCTATTACTACGTCTCTTTACAATGTCAAAATGAAACAATAGAAAAAACTGTCAAAATAGGTTTGTTCCCGCATCACATTCAGAACCAATTCATGATTGTCGAAGAGTAAACAGTTTTCTTTGTTTGTGTTGTTCGGAGTAGCACTTCCTGCTTTGGGGCGTTCGTTTGTGTTATGGCAATGAGCTGACGAGCGTTCGTTTGTGAGGTATAGTTTGTACCAAACTGTTTAGTTCATGTTCAACCTGCATATGCGTTCGAGGAGGAGTAGGATAAGGCAGCCTATAAATAAATGTGAAAAACGCCACATTGGAAGGTTCTCCGCTTAGGTTCTCTGTTCAGTCTGTTCCCTCCATCATTTGTATAAAAAAGCTGGCAGGTTGCAACGTGACAGTCCTCTCCTCTATACATTCCTCGTTTGTGTCAGAATATGTATTACACTTAAAGCAGTCAATTGTAAAGCCGTTATCAGTTGATCTGCCGACGCCACAAGTGAAATATCTTGCGCTCAGTTCAGCTAGTGCGACAAAAAAATCTCATGCCTTGCTATCACTCATGACCCAGTTCAGGACTTTTATTTCACCGAATCATTTCGGAACAGGAAAAGAAAAATTCGAAACCCTCTACCAAAAATGTCCTGATGAACGCGGCCAATGGTTCATGTTGAATCCCAATGATAGATCTGGTTCAGGATAGATCCGAAATCCATTCTAGTTCAACTGCGAACAAAGAACGGTTACTACAATTCGAAATTTCGTTTGTTAGAACTCTAGAGCAACTTGCTCCGGTGTTAGTCGACCCCGATTTTAAAGGAACTACTACGACGCTGTTTTTTGTGCATTTAAAAATGGTTTTGTTCTGGCTTGAGTACTTCAGGTGCAACCAATCGCGTAACAAACACTTTTTGAAATAAATAAGCGCGTAACGTCCCGGCGGAGCTCCTCCTAGGTGTAGGAATACAACTGAAACAATAGAAACAACTGTCAAGATAGGTTTGTTCGTGGATCACATTCAGAACCTTCATGATTGTCGAAGAGTACCTTATGTACACTTGGCCAAACATAAAACTGGTGCAGGCGATATATATTTTTTAAATTTGCCTAGTGTGAGTCAGGCTTAAAAACAAAAAGTCTGTTCTGAAAAACTTAGGTCAGACCGCCAGACAGTTTTTGTCAACGTCAAAGCTGAACAAAAGTAAATGCATAATTTTTTTATGTTATGATTCGTTTAAATATGACACTGACTTGACTCTTTTTGTCATTAGTTGTATTCCTTTCACACGTGGGAGGAGCTCCGGAACAGGTCCGGGGCTTCACGCGCTTATTCCTTTCGAAAAGTGTTTGTTGCACCACGCATCTGTTCCCTGCAAATCGGGGGCGACTAAACACCGGAGCGAGTAGCTCGAGTGTTTCAAGCTCTTGAAAGGAATACAACTATTGTTGAGGTGATGAAAAAGGTCGCTTTACACAATACAACACAATAGGAAAATGCGTACCAGTTTTATGATTGGCCAAGTGTACCATCGTCACCAAAAGTAACTGGGACAGCATCACATTAGCTCTTGTCCTATTATATGAATTTTATTGTCAAATATAATAAGGCAATCCAACGATGTGTCAAATATGGCCGACTGTTGGCACCAATGAACTAGAACTAAAAACTGGAATGCGCACACAGTGCCATATCTGCCAAAAAAATGAAGCCATGAAAGACAGATGCCACAACGGGGAATGTTGTCTTTTTCTGTTGCTCGCTGACATATGACGTTTTCGAAAGTTTTGTCATTTTTTCCTTCACAGGTTTCATCAATTGGAATACGTGTTGGAAGCAATTTTCGCCATTTAACATAATGAGTGCGACAAAAACAGGTATCCCCTCCGCAGCAGCCGCACTAGGCTTCACGTTCGTCCTTATTTGTTAGCATTCCAGTTTTTGGTTATAGTTCATTGGTTGGCACACATATGCCCATAACCCTAGCCGCTTTCCAGTGCCTAAATTGTTAGAGTATCATGCTCCTGGAGTGTGACGCACTTGAACTGTTCCACACAAGCAGCACTGGAACGCTCCCGTCTTAACCCCCACCATTTCGCACTTCAGGAGCATGAAACACCATAATAAAGGTTGGTGCACGAGGGGGCAGGGGATAACAGAAATGAGTAGTTCAAGTGTACGACACTCTAAGCACTGGAACGCGCAAAGTAATTGTGGAGCACTCCTGAGCTGCTTAGGAGTAACTCAAATGGGTCACTGGAAAGCACCTCCTAATAGTTGTATTCCTTTCACACCTAGGAGGAGCCCCGGAACAGCTCCGGGGCTTCACGCGCTTATTCCTTTCGAAAAGTTTTTGTTGCACCACGCATATGTTCCCTGCAAATCGGGGGCGACTAAGCACCGAAGCGAGTAGCTCGAGTGTTTCAAGCTCTTGAAAGGAATACAACTATTAGCGTTTTCCATTTGTCGAACCAGTGCAAAAAAAAATATATCCTTATCCTTAAATGTTACATGCTTTTAGAAAAAGATGCGGATACACTCGGTGCTCACTGATTGACAAATGGAAAACGTCGTTATTTCCTTGAGCGGCCTCAGGACAGCTTTTCCGCAACTCGCACAAATATGGACTTTCTCTGAAAGCTATATTTCAATAGAAATGAAAGTTTCAACTCGTGAAAATATTTTCAATGTCTTTAAAAATGTTTATATAGACTCAAATAAAATAATTTAGGTCTCAGAACTCACAAAATTGAGCAATGAGCGGCAAAATACGCAGTCAACACAGAAAATGACACAATATTGAATCAAGAAAATCTTTTGTGTGCCAACAATCCGTCAAAAAAAGTCACGTGGTTTGAATTGCCTAATACAGTAGAACTAGTCCAGGAGATTATTATGCATTATTTGTGTCCCAAATACTTTTGGTGACGATAGTACATAGGTTTCTGCTTATTCAAAACGGTACGCATCAAAACATTCTGCCACCCAATCTAGCTAGAGCTCGGAAACCTGACCAATCAAATTCGATGTGGCTATTTTAGGTGGCATAATGTTACTATTTGCGCTGCATCAGGGGTCAGAATGTCGGGACGATGATGGCGCTATTTAGGGCGGATATTATAAAACTACTTTTAGAGTTAACTTAAAGTTAACTTCTGGAATTACATGTAATTCAAAAAGCTAAATTCAAGTTAACTGTCGAAGCAGTTTTATAATACCCTCCCTTAAAGGGTCAGAATGTTTATTCTTTAGCCAAGTGTTGTTCGGAGCAGCACTTCCTGTTTTGGGGCGTTCATTTGTGTTATGGCAATGAACTGACGAGCAGTCGTTTGTATAAGGTGTAGTTTGTATGTACCAAACTCACCATTCTACGTCGGTCATTGTTATTTTCCATTCACTGAACAAAGCCAGCTAACTCATTGGTGAAGTCACTGATTGGAATTAAAACGAGGGGTTCTTAAAGCAGTTATCAGTTGAACTGGTGGTAACGCCACAAACGAAATATCTTACCTCATGTCCTACCAAAAATGTCCTGATGAACGCGGCCAATGGTTCATGTTGAATCCCAATGGTATATGTACAGGGTAAATCCGGATCCCATTCTATTCTAGTTCAACTGTGAACAAAGAACGATAACTAAACTCGAAATTTCATTTGTCTATTTTCATTTTTAATTTCGATCGCTTTTGTTTGGGAACCGGTTCGGAACCAAAAAACCAAAAACAAGGCGCAAGTCACAAAACAGTTCAGAACAAGAAAAGAGAGAACCATTCTAGAACAATTCCAGAATAGTTTTTATAGTTCTCGATAAACCAAAACGCTGTCAATAGTTGTATTCCTCTCGCACCTAGGAGGAGCTCCGGAACAGCTCCGGGGCATTACGCGCTTATTCCTTTCGAAAAGTGTTTGTTGCACCTGAGTGCTCAAGCCCGACTCAAACCATTCAAATGCATGAAAGCCAGTGCATCTGTTCCTTTCAAATGGGGGTCGACTAACACCGGAGCGAGTAGCTCTAGTGCTTCGAGCGCTTGAAAGGAAATACAGTTGATTCATTCGATTACGAAATCAAAATAATCTTGAAACTCTTCAGAGCAAGAACTCAGAGAACCGTTCTAGAACAATCCCTAGTTCTGAGTGAAACCCAAAACAAAAGCTAATATGTCAAATTTCAAAATCAGTTGAAAAAATTTGTTGGTAAATTAATTTGCGGTCATATTCTCCGTAGTCCATAAACCTTGGCTTAGTGGAAAAGCTCGGCTTTGTCACACAAAAAGCCAAGCGTTTCCACTAAGCCAGGCTTTATGAACTACAGAGAATATGACCCTTAGACGTTAGATGTGATTTTTGGAATCGTATTACCTAGAACTAAGTAGTTGGGTATTCGACACCTCAATGGACAATACCACAATACTAATATCTAAATGTATTCAGAGCTGAGGAGGTACTGATCTCGGTACTGATTACTGATATATGAAACATATACCTACCTCTACTTAAAGTAAAATATTCAGTACATTTGATACATTGATTTGATATTCAGTACATTTGATATAACTACTTAGCAATTTAGTACCTACTTATTCAGTATTTTACCCAAAATATGGACTCTATAAGTACTTATTTGGTATATCTAGTTTGAGTAGGTATCTTCTAAGAAATATTGTTTGTATAAGAGAAAAAATCTAATAGAACCAAAAGAACTGATAATTTGGTGGTATACATTACAACAGATACAATTTTGTATGCACTTATGAATCACATTACTGTCAAAAATACCACGTTTATAAGTACTTATAAGTAGGTGCATATGAATACTCTAAAGTACTTATAAATACCTACTTAAAGTATTTTTATATACGACGCACGTCGCACACTATAGAGCTGAAGAGTTTAGCTGAATAATCTGTGTCGTAGATAAAATGCTCTATATCACACGTATGGTAACGCTCATTACAGCACTCGTGGTTATGTGACTCGTTACTGCAATGATGCTCATCCTATTATTAAAAAACTATATAAGTACTTGAGTGAATATGAAACATACTGTTATTTTTTATTTTACTTTAAGTACATTCAACAAATATTTTACTTTATTTAATACTTTAAGTACTTTTGCTGAGTATATACTTAGCTCAGCCCTGGAATGTACTCTATTTATTTCCACAAGCCAAAAACAGCACCGCAGAGAAAATAAGAACAATCAAAAAGTCAGGAGATGTCTGATAAGTGACTCTGTTCCTAATAAAACTTGCCCATTAATCATTCTCAGGTGTAGCCAAAAGTGAACTTGATAATTTGTACAGAGTTTAAGTTCTTACCTATTCAAAATGTTATCCTCAATTAGCCACAAACGGTTGACAGACAATGTGGTGCATTCATTGAAAAAGAAAAAAATCAATTCAATACTAGATTTAATGAATCTGGATAATGGGGTAATAGAAAGATACACAAGCCTTACTTTTCAAGTAATTAAAAAATAATAATAATAATAATACTCCACTGCTTATCTTATTTATTTTCCAGGAAATAATTGAACTCAAAAAGGATTTATCAAAGACATACTCTGCTCCACCTATTACTGGCTATACATGTTACCAAAAGCTTATGTCCCATTCTCATTCTGCACTAATTTCAACTGGATATCCCAAGTAAGAATCCTGGTTTATTTCCTAATCCAAATAATTTGATTTATTTGATAGTAACAAATGAATCATAATAATTTTAGGCTTGACGATCTTCTCGATGGTGGTTTTTATACTGGAACAATTTATGAATTTTGTGCACTTCCCGATTGCAATAGATTGAAATTTACGTTAACTCTATTACGAAATATTATGTGCAACAATAATAGTATTCACGTTGGCATTCTAGATACTAACAGACAGTATTCCGCAAGCCTTATGAAGACTATACTGTCTAAAAAAAAAACAGAGGTATGTATATTGTATATTTAATTCAGATTCTTTATCATGTACAGGGTGTCCCAAATTCGAGGGTGACCATTGAGATATCGGAAACTATAAGAGATACGACGTCGAAAAAATTATGGAAAAGTTGCGCAATTTTATGACCAAAAAAATGCCGTTTTGAAATTTGAAAAATTCCGTATACTTCCGAGGATATTCGGAAAAAACCGAAATGTTGCAAAATCATTTCTATTTTTTCCTGGGCCTATTTGAAGAACAATTTTAAAATAAATGTCACTTCATCATTATCACTTTTTCCCCTTTACAAGATGTTGCTACTAAATTTCAGATTCGACGTTTCGTCTTTGGGCAGCCATCTTCAACTTTATTTTTTCAAATACGGACCTGCATTTTTTATTTTCGGTTATATGAGCTTCTGATGTCCCAAAACCTATGACGTATCGCATTTACTCGATTTTTTTTTTTAATTTTTAGTAATTTCCTACCAAAACTTTTTTCTCTGTCTTTCTCTAACACATTAAGTTCTTATGGAAAGTGCCAATAATATAAATTTTTCGAATAAGTCCGATACGTCATAGGTTTTGGGACATCAGAGGCTCATAAAATCTAAAATAAAAAATAAGAATCCGTATTTAAAAAAATTAAGTTGATGATGGCGCCCAAAGACGAAACGTCGAATCTGAAATTTGGTAGCAATATCTTGTAAACGGGAAAAAGTGACAATGATGAAGTGACATTTATTTCAAAATTGCTCTTCAAATAGACTCAGGAAAAAATAAAAATGATTTTGCAAACTTTCGGTTTTTTCCGAATATCTCCGGAAGTATTCAGAATTTTTCAAATTTCAAAACAGCATTTTATTAGTCATAAAATTGTGCAACTTTGCCATAATTTAATCAACCTCGTATCTCTTATAGTTTCCGATATCTCAATAGTCGCCCTCGAATTCGGGACACCCTGTACAAAAGTTGTAGCATTTTATCTAAAGCCTCAGAATTTTTAATTAGATTGAACAAATGAGCAACGCAAAGTTGAAAAATATGTTGATATTCACTTTTTTTAAATGGGATGCTCTTTATTTTCCTCCAAAATCATCTTACAGTTCTCGTTTTTCTGATTCAAATTATATATGTAAATGCTTCTTTCAATAGTTTTGGAAATATCTGGAGTTCAGTTATTCAGAGACAGTAGTTTTCTGAATCTATTTTACCTTGATTTACCTGTCACCTTTTCACAAAACAATCTGATACGTGAATAGGTCTTTGAATAACTAAACTCTAGCTATTTCCGAAACTACTGAAAGAATCATTCACATATCATATAATCTGAATCAGAAAAACGAGAACTTCAAGAGTTTGAAAGAAAATAAAGTGCATTCCATTTAAAAAAAGTGAACATTGACGTATTTTCTCTTTTTCTGTCGCTCATTTTTACAATCTAATTAAAAATTCTGGTGATTCAAATGAAATGCTACAACTTTTGTATTTACACCTTTCACCTATCACCTGTAATTACGGCTGCAGGTGGGTATCAAAATATATTGACTCACCCTGTACATATGTATTTTTTTTTGCCTTAACTTGGTACTGTGGTTCAAGTGGTAAAATAATTTACAACTAAAGGATATAAGAAATACTGTATTTATTTCATCTGTATATCTGACTATGTAGGCACAACTTTTTCAAACAAAGAAGTTGTGAAAGTTTTATATACCACTGGGCATTTTCCAAATGACATACTATTTAAATTTCAGGAAGAATGTTGGAACCTATTAAAGAACATCTCAGTCAAGCATATTTCCAATAAATATATGCTCATAAGTGAACTATTCAATATCAAAAAGCAACTAGAAAACGGGGAATTATGTGCCGATATAATTGTAATTCATACAATACCATCATTATTTTTGGGCACAAAAGATGTTACAGAACGGAATCACATGCTGAATCATTTAGCCAATATTTTACGATACATCGCCAATGAACACAATGTTGTATTCATTTTAACAAATCTTATAACCACTTGGAATAAGGGAAGTTTTCAAGACCATCAAGAAACGGGAGAAAAAGTGGCTTGTGGAAAATATTGGCAAACAGTACCAGATGTTAGAGTTCGAATTAATAGAATGGCTCTTGATGAACATGAATGTATTTTGTTGAAATCTAATACTATCTCCATTTATGAATAAATCTTAAAATCATCAAAAAGGAAAAACCATCTGTGGTGCTTAGTGAGAAACAGATAAAAAAGAAAATTTGGAGTTGGAATGGGCTTAGTATTGATTTAGCAGAAGCAGATATCCAAACTAAAAGACATACACTCTTTGTTAGTATTCAATTAAATTGCCTCTTTTCGCAACCCCCAATCCATTTCCACCATGCAAAACTACCAAAGTAATTGCTTAGCGTTACAGGAATAAATTTTGTTTTATTATGTACTTATGTAAAACATTTTATTTCATTTTTCCTCTTCCAAATCTCCAAAGACTTTTTTAATAAAGGTGAAGCAGACATTATTGAGAGAAGCACTTCACAGTACAACAATATTTTTGATTTTGGTATCATCTCAAAAACTTCACATTGTAAATATGATAAGGACATTGAGAGCCTTCTTTCATCTGGGCATGGAAGTATAATAATTATTTACATTAGGAAGATTTATTCTAAACAACTTGCTAAAGTTCCATTTTTCTTTGCTTCTTCAAAATTCTTATAGAAATCTCCAAAATCAACATAGGCAGGAATCCTCTGATCAGGTCCAATATCGTCTTCAGATTCAGTTTTTGCTTCCGAACTAGTTGTGGTATTTGTCTTACTGATTGTGCTCAAGTTGGTGAGGGTATGTTGAGTAGAATTATTACTGTTTGTTATATCATTTGCAATAACCAATGGATTAAATTGCACTGTTGGTTTTGTTGGGGACTTTAATGCATTAGGTAATGGATAATTGAAATTCCTCAATACCAAAGTTATATCTTCCCTTTTTGGAGTACAGGAGTGATTGAAAGAATTTGACATGTACCAATCATGATGTAGCCGGACGACTTTATCCACTACAGCTTGAGCTACTCCTGTAAGGGTAGCTTGTTCGCGAAACTGATAAAATAGTAAAATAAATATTTCAATTTTAAATGATACACTTTTGCTACCTGTTCTACAACCCACTGAGCAATGTGCCTATTAACTTGTTCAGGACCAATGGATTCTTCAACAGATTTATATAAGCCAGCAGTCATTAGAAGCAAAAATCTACAAGATTCATCTAGAATAATGCCACCATGGACATCTGGTTCAGAGATGACTGGTTCTTGTGTGGCCTTTGATAAATCTTCAAAGTCCTTGTACCCATCTTTAATGGCATAATTACCCAAACATCTTGTATTTTCTTGGTTACCTAATCTTGAACCTAAATACATACACTAATTTTTAATTATACATATTATTTCTATGCTGGGAGTTGAAGAAAAGTTCAGCTTATTGTTTCAGTCAATGAAGAACTCCCTGTTATTTATCAGGGAAGCATAATATGAATATTACTTACTGTTCCTAAGATTATGTGGATTGATTCCAATCTGAGAAAGCCTTAAAAGTTCATCCTCGTTTTGCAAATCATGATCGATACTGAGTTGTACAACTTTCAAAACCGAATTGGCATCAGTCTGGCATAGTAAAACTCTGCAGTTTCCAACATTGGCTACAAATAATTTGTTTTTGCAAATCAGTGCTACTGCTGTAGCAGATCCTGATGCCAATTCACAATTGAGGCTTTTTATTTTTTCCATAACATGTGGAACCTGTAATGAATCAAATAAACCCTATGTAGATGAAAATTTTTGGTGCAATCTTACTTTTTGATATGCCTCATAAGTACTTAAGCCATCAGGAATTTCATATTGGAGACAAGTTCTTTCAGCTAGCAAATCTCCAAGACTTTCCATGTAACCAGCTTCAACAGTTAAAAACGCCTGCCTTAGCAATTCCCTGATTTCTTCATCAGACTGTTTTTCATTTATTTGGGAAAAATATATTTCGGCAGTCATTCTTTGAGAGCAAAAGTCCGCCGCTCGTTTGCCTTCGTGACCATCAAATACAGCGTACCAATAAAACTGATCATTGAAGCGAAAATGTGAGCTGTAGTCCTCGTAAAGGTGTTCTTCTTGAGGATGACCGTCTTCCCTGTATATTTGATTGGTGGAAAAGCCGATGCCAGTGTTTTTGCAAACAGGCAAGTCGTCGGTCCAACTTTCAGAGTTTTTGTAGCTGTTTTGATGAACTTTTAGGGAGTTCATTTTAATTTATCTTTCCATAAACTATTGCAGATTTGGAAAAGTATGATATTTCAAAAGAAAATGTTAAAAATTTTAAAAGTACATACCTACTATGATTACTATATGAATTTGTATTTAAAATTTAGGTCACAATAAGTTCACAAAGTACAAAATATTAAAATAAATAAATAAAATATAAAAGTAAACAATAAACTAGACCAGGGGTGGGCTTATCGATCTATGAATACATTACATCGATACGCTCTCGATGATGAAAAATAAATACATATTTTGTTTCTAATTCAAGCTCTTTGGACTAGAACCTTTTCTGTAATCCGGACATCATCAAGAGAGAGAAATTCTTTGGTTTCATGTCCATCATTATTAAAAATCCTTTACTCTTGGAAATAGTTCGGGGCAGCAGTGGATGCACTCCGACCCAATTTCACGTTTAAACCCCGTTCGTTGTAGTGTTCGGAGTGAGAGTATTTTTGCGGTGTTCGGGCTTCGATAGAGCACCCTGACTGAGCACCATCTCTTCTCCCTGGGAGGATGGGTACGTTTCAAGAAAACCCATCCTAATGTAAATTGTGAGATCTTGTTATAGAGTAAAATCTCACGTGAGTAGTAGTAAGTTGAACATGAACTTTACGCATAGCGTACTTAATGGCAAATTAATTCACACGGGCATATAGACCAGGAGCTTGGTAGTTATTTGGCCTTTCTACCTATGTAGGTAGGTATTATAAGTATTTTTTTCTAAAACAAGCTCTATAAATTCTTATTACTATACACCTTTTTCAATAATTGTAATTCAGAAAGTGTCAGAGTTGTACCTAATTCAGATTTTTCAAATGTAGGTAGGTAATTCATAAATTTCACTTGTAATCCAGATTTTTGAAATGTAATTCAGAAAATCTTTTTTGTATAATTCAGAAAATCCCACTTGAAATTCAGTACACCCCATTTGTAATTCAGATTTTTTAAATATAATTCAGAAAATATCGTTTGTAGGTAATTCAGGAAATCTCCACTGAAATTTTCAGAAAATTTGGTTGGTTTAAAATTTATAGAATAGGTAGGTAGTAATTATATAAACATATCCCTTTCACAGTCCAGAAACCAGAAGCTCTGTATCTATATACATACAGGGTGTTCCCAAATATCATGTACAAACGAAAGGAGGTGATTCTTTGGTTTATTATTTATGACTAAAATTTCTAATAAACATAGGTCCGCAAACGCTTCGTTTCCGATCTACAGGGTGTTGAAATTTTAATGTATACATATTGAAAATGAGCAAGAATATGACTGCGGGACCTCTATTGTCGCCACTCTAGGTAGAAAAGGTTTATTGTTCACTTGAGTTTCATCTAATTACAGGGATTTGTGTTTTAATTCTTTTCTCGATAAGGGTCGGTGATACGAAAAAACTACAAGAGAATAAAAAGTTTCTAAATGAGGTAGAAAAATTATTTTATTTCTTAGAATCGACCAGCAGCGCACCGCGAAAAATTTCAGGGGCAGAAAAGGGGGCATGACCCCTGAAAAAACATCACCCTGTAGATTCTGGCAAACGTTTGACATGTGGAATCATTCAGCTCTTATTGCGTAACCTATATTTTAAATTTGGGCTGAATTCCTCAAAAATTGCAGGTGCTATAAAAAAAAAACTAAAAAAATATTAAAACTTCAACACCCTGTAGATCGGTAACGAAGCGTTTGCGGACCTATGTTTATCAGAAATTTTAGTCATAAAATGAACTAATTAATCACCCACTTTCTTTTGTACATGATATTTAGGAACACCCTGTATATGTCATTGTAGGTAGGTACAGTTGCGATCAAAAAAAAGTAGTACAAAAATTATTAACCCCAATTTGAGCTCCCTGTGTAGCATACAAAATTTTGACAGCAAATAAACATTTCAAAATATGTTGAGTTCTGGCAACGACATATTCTAGGTTAAAAACGGGTGGAAAAATGCCAAAGTAATTTCATCTGAAGTTTTCTAGGTTGAAAAATTGTCAAAAAATTCCAAAAATATGTCATTTTGGTTATGAAATAAATTAATGTATAATAGACCAGGATATTTTGGAGATTTTTCTTGTACTACTTTTTTTTGATCGCAACTGTACATAGGTACATAGGTTCCTGCTTATTCAAAACGGTACGCATCAAAACATTCTGCCACCCAATCTAGCCAGAGCCCGGAAACCTGACCAATCAAATTCGATGTGGCTATTTTAGGTGGCATAATGTTACTATATGCGCTGCATCAGGGGTCAGAATGTCGGGATGATGATGGCGCTATTTAAAGGGTCAGAATGTTATTGCAGGGGCTAGATTCAGGGTCAGAATGTTACATGCGATAGAGCATCAGTATTAAATTTAACAAACAATGTTTGATATGTTAAAGAATTATCTATAACTGTATTTTGTACGTGTTATACAATTCAGAAATTTAGATTTTATTTGTGTTCCCTATGGATTTTTTCCATGAATTAAATTGTTGGTTTTTTGATTGAAACAGAGGAATTAAGAAAAATATCCACTTTGGATATAAGGGGTCAATAAATTTAGATTTTGCAAAATCTGAATACCCAATAATTAAAATTTAAGTAAGTTCTAAATTTTTCAAAGACTACACGTTTTTGTACAATTTCCTTCCAGCTTTATTTAAAAAAGTTTCCCATGCATTTTTCGTTTTAATTGAACTAAGTCTTGACATAAATCTTCTAGAACTTTGGGCAGTAATGCCAAATTGTGTATGATTTTTAGTTGGCGATTTTCAATATTACCATCCCATATTAAACTATTATTTAGGTTAACAGTAGTGAAATTTTCAGGACCTTCATCCACATATTCAGTCATGTTAATTTTGATTTGCAACTGCAAATGGCATATAAAAATCTTTTGGCTGGACATTCTCTCCATAAGTTAACTGAGCAAATAACTACCTTGATTCGACACTATAGCTTAGAGTATTCGACAGTGTTGCCAATCTGAATTAGTGAAATTACACGATATGCTGGTCAAATTACACGCTTTTACACGCTTTCAATTCACACAATTACACGATTTTTACACACGATCTTGGTACCTATTCTGTAACATCAAGAAACAAGTATAATTTTTTTTTGTGTAATATGATTTTGGGAAATGGGTTAAATCCAGTCAAATCTGAGGGTTAATGCTCCTGATCACCGCTCATCAACTAAAAATAAAGATGTGGCAACTACAGAAAAGCGTTCCGAAAGTAATCAAATCACTAATTACTCTGGTTCCTGGAAAGAAGGTTACTTTTAGACCTCAGTAGCCTGCAAGCATTCTACACACTACTACTACTACAGGATAGCCTATCCTCATAAGGCCTGTGTAGTTCAAATCTCAAGCCCCCTGCCATGCCAAAGTACCAGTGATAACGTAGGCAGCGTGTCATTTCTCGTTTCCATTAATTAACATTATAAAACAACTCTTTTTCATATCTCGTTTGCGTCTTCCGCTTCGCCTATAATCAAACTTAATTAAAATTTTTCATTATAAATTTAAAACGACCGCTGACGCAAGCAGCTGACCAGCTGACGACTTAGTTAATGACGTCGGCAATGGTGCTAAACCATATGACCGCAATTACTAAAAACGAGGCCTATAAGCAATCCCTAGTGTGTATTATCCTTGGCCATAAGGGTAGTCATTTGACAGATCATTTGTTTAAATTGAAAAGCCGTGAAACAGACAAAAATAAAGAAAATGTCAAATTTTTCAAATTACACGCAAAATACACACTCTTTGTTTATGTTCGAAAAATACACGCAAGCCAATCAAAATACACGCAAATCGTGTAATTACACGCTTATTGGCAACACTGGTATTCGAAGATGCTTTTTGAAAATAATGTCGTTTTCGGATAACAAGTTTGCACGATAAGTGTTTTCACTCACACTACATAGAATAAACAAACGTTGTGGGTAGTTTTATCGCATTCATCTCCATTATAAATAAATACTAAAATGTCTTCGCATAAATTTCAATAGAGCAATGAGCGGGAAATGAACAAAACATGCGACACTTCTAACGGACAAGTGCAACAGGCCGTCCTGACATTCTGACCCCTGATCTAGCCCATGTAGTAACATTATGCCGCTCAAAATAGCCACGTCGAATTTGATTGGTCAGATTTCTGGGATATGGCTAGATTGGGCGGCAGAATGTTTTGATGCAAACGGTACCTATAGTTTTTATACAAGGTTTTATATTAGATAGTCGGACCATCTCACAAAATATTGGACCAAGAATTATACAATTATCTGAATTACCTACATCTAATATTATTACCTATCTGATTTACAATTGGGATTTTGTGTATTACAAATGAAATTTCCTCAATTACATTCAAAACATCTGAATTACAAGTGAGGTTTTTTAAATTACATATGAAAAATCTGAATTACAACATTGGGGTTTTCTGAATTACATTTGGAAAAACTGAATTATACAATTGGAAAATATGTAGTACCTACCTAACCTAATATTATTTAACACAAGGCTAAATCCATTTATCTGTTCTAATAGATCAATTGTATTTTCCATAGTTAACATTGCCGCGCGCCTTTTATCAGACAACATACTGATTACGGATGATATATAGTTTATTGCAAATTATAGGGCTTCCGGGTTTTGCCTATTGATTGTTATTGATTTAAAATAATTGCTTATTGGATCGAGGGCTGCATACAAATTTTGCAGTGTAGGTGAGCAGGTGCCTGTAAGAAGAACAGGCTTTCTTCAGAACAAGAAGAGTTTTAATTGCAAAAAGCACATTTTTCTACATCAAGACATTTAATTCGTAAAATTTTAGACAAAATGCAAGATATATATGAAGTTTATTAACCTAAAGTCGCAGACTCATAACATATTAATAATTTATGAGGCCACTTTAGTCGTCTGGAAAACCTCCGAAAATAAATCCAATTAACAAGGCGATGAAAAATGAACCCACATTTAATTCCGAGTTAAACATAATAATTTAAAGAACACTTTTACCGTAAAAAAAAATTGTTTTAACTAATCATCATAGGAAAATCATTATTCACAAGTGGCATTAGAGCGTCGGTGACCCAGAGGCGCCTTCAAATTTTTCGATGATTGATGCGTGAAGATTTTTTTCACGATAATTGCTTAATGGAGATGATCCTGAAGCACGTCATCGTGTCGTTGCTAATTTAAATTCCAAACTAAATGACTTTATATTTGAATATTATTGGCTGTCAATATATACCTACCTACCTAATGGCAAATTAATCCGTTGTTATAACTTAAAAAAAAATCTTTGTCTTTGGATATCCTTAATATTTTGTCCTACTTTATATGGTGTGATACACCTTTATGTTTTAATGCCATGTCTAGGTACCTGTATTAGTGTGTCATTCATATCAGCTCATCAAATGCAGCGAAGGAATG